TATGTGGTTCACATATACTTTTTATGGGGTTATTGCATGTTTTGGGGTCCCTGTGATGTGTTTTATGATACTGTATTTCTCTGTCTGTCATAATTATATTAACCATTGTGTTCGGTAATCATATCACAGGCAGAGGGGAGGATTTTGTGTGGGAGTGTCTGTGTGTATTGTAAGGATTGATTGGTTGTATTTCAAAACCCTGTGGGCAGTACTATGTTTGTGGATTGTGAATAAAAGGGGCTGTATGTGCCAGTACAGTCAGTTCTGCTTGACCTCAAAACCAAGTGTCGTCTCGTTATTGGGGGAATTGGATTGTATGCTGATTGCCAGGAGTGTAAGCTGATTGTATGCTTTTCCTGTTCAGCTACTTACAGCATTCATATGCTTGAGAGCATTCGTATGCTTCTACAATTCGATGGTTGTGGTGCCTGCTGCAGTGCTTGGAGTCCTCAGGAAGCGCTAGGAGCATCCTTCAACGGAGGTACCCAGTCGGGGTGCCAGGTGATCCGTTACACATTTCACTTCAGAATTAGAAGAAACAGACACATCGTTTTAAGAGCCAGAAAGTTCTATCATGTGTTTTGGATCACGTCATGTTCCAAATTTTGCTTATTCTGTACCCAAACCCAAGAAATTTAGCACTAAAGGGACATGCACTGAAAAGTAAAAAAAACAAGTGATTTTGTCTCCTAAAGGATTTTATACTTTCTCTGACATGACTGCTGGGCTGATGGAAATAGAAAGGGTCTCAGTTTGAGTTTCTCAATCCCCAAATGAAGTGTTGACAGAAGAGACTGGAAAAGTGTCCTCTTTGTTCGTAGCAAAGGATACACTGATAATTCCAACCATGGCACCCTCTAAAACATCACCCTCTCAACTATCACCAGAGAATTGATAAAAGCCATTTTTTTAAATTTAGATAAGGGATCATTTAATTGTAGAACATGATTAGCTTGTAAAAACACAGAAGGTGGTCTTTTCCAATGACAACGTTGAGTATACAAAGTTCATCTTTGTATGGAAAAGATACATAGATGACGTTCTCATCGTCTGGACGGGCACTAAAGACTGTTTTGTAACATTTGTAGAGAGATTAAATTCCAACAATCTGAACCTAAAATCCACAATGGAGGTTGGAGACACATCCCTTAATTTTCTTGACTGCACCTTCAGAGTCACTACCGAACACAAGATTGAGACCACTTTATTCAGGAAACCTACTGCAACGAATACAATGCTACGTTGGGAAAGCCATCACCCAACTTCATTAAAAAGAGGTATTCCCATTGGACAATACCTCCGGTTGCGCAGGAACTGTTCAACAATTGAAGAGTTCACCACTCAAGCCAGGTTACTTAGAACTAGGTTTAAGGATAGGGGTTATCCCAATCGCTGTTTAAAATACGCATACCAAAGAGCATTATACAGTGATAGACCGGAACTCCTCAAAGATAAACCAGTTTCTAATGAACCAACACTGATTCGTTGTGTCACTAGCTTTGACTCAGGTTGGGATCAGGCAAAAAAGATCCTGGGAAGATTTTGGCCTCTACTTTCCCAAGACTCCCAACTCAAAAGTGTAGTGACCCCTAATGTATCACTCACAGCACGTAGAGGCAGAAACCTCAAGGAAATTTTAGTACCCAGTCATCTCTCGGGGAAGAAACCCGGAAAAAACTGGTTATCCATGCAAGGAACTTACAAATGTGGAAGATGTGTAGCGTGTAGATACATTAGTAGGAACTCCAAATGCCTGACAGATTCGAGTGACCAAATGGTGCTTAATGTGAAGCAATTTTTTTATTGCAACACTAAAGGCATCATATACCTTACGGAGTGCACATGCGGACTAAAGTACGTAGGCAAAACTATTCGTCCCCTCAAAAGGAGGGTAATGGAACACGTACATTCTGTCCGAAATCTCAAGGATACCTCAGTGTCACGACACTTGAGGAACTGTCACCATGGTGATCCAAGTGGTTTGAAGTTTGCAGGGATTGAGAAGACCCTCTTGGGACGTAGAGGAGGTGATCTTGATCTTACCCTCCTCAAAAGGGAATGCTATTGGATTTATAGGTTCAAAACTTTGGCACCCCATGGACTAAACGAGGGTTTTACATTTACTCCCTTCATACATAAATAAGAGTACTCAGGACCAACCTTAATATGTTTAGTTATGTGTATGGTGATTGTATGTACATGTTTTTTATAAATTTATTATGTTTTATTTTTTTTGACACATAAGAGACTGTGAATTAAAACCAACTTTTGACGTGTTAGTATTAGGATGCACACGTGTTACGTGGCTAATGTGGAACTATGTGACAGGTTTGCGAGGGCTTATACATTCCCCTCCACCCAGGGTCACTGCTAGGGGCATTGTTTCTTTTCCCCCTATGTGAACATATGTAACCTGCTACTGACATGCTGTCAGCCATTTTGCTGTTTATTCATCATCTTAAAATATAATCAAAGAAGAATATTTACTCTAAGAAATAAGAAGAAACTATGTTTTATTGCTACAATTCTGGACTGTTTTTTGGATTGCAAAAGGAAAGGTTATTTTGAAAGCGTGTCTTGTCAGATGTTGCCAGGGGGGGGAAAGGTGAAATGTGTGCTTAAGTTGTGAAAGAGGAAGTCTTATATGTGTTAACTTTTATCATAGACAAGCGATATTTTAGCGAAGTAAGACGCATGACTGTGGTCAAGTCATCTGTTAGACAGATCATGGGATGCTTAAACTTTTGAACCTTAAATTTGTCAGTTATGCTAGAATTTAGCCAATAGGAAATAAGACCATATTTGGAGTTCTGATTCAAGCTAAACGAAAGGCCGGTTCCGGGTCATATGTATAAAATATGAGGAATTGTAACATGATGTTAGATTGCTTCTTGCCAATCTCCATGAGATATCTCTGTGTATTGTAATGGTCAATTAAACGCTTTTTATTGAACCTGGTAATATTTTTGTCTAATTCCACAGTTGGGGGCTCTTTGTCCGGGATCAGAATACCACAGACACCAGCGGAACACCTGCACCTGCCAACCATTTCGTGGGCACTCAAACAGACCGGTCATATGAAAGGTAAGCCATACCATTTATAAAACATGGCATTAGTGTAATTTTTGAGTGTCCATGAAACAAAGAACGGTGCAGGTAAATGCTAGTCTGTGTGACCTGATTTCTTAGCCTTTTATTGACCATTTGTAACGTTACTATTTATGTTTATGTTGTAAAATATACTGCAGTATTAGTGTCTATGTCTGAGTGATTCTAGAATCAGTGGTAGCACTGACAGGTAGTCCCCTAGGAAGACTTAAGTGACTAAACTTTGCAGACCCAATAGGGGTTTGGTGGGCCTTCAGAAGTCTAAACGTAGCTCTGTTGGTGAGAGTCTCTTTGATATGATGTATCCCTGTCATGTGATTGTGGCTAAATGTTGAGGTTAGCCACATGAATCTAATCTCCCAAATCTAAACGTAGCAAAGCGAGATTGGATTATTTTGTTTTAGTGTCTTAATTTCACCCAGTCTAAACGTAGCAAGGTGAAGTTAAGTTGTCTTGTATTAATTGGCTAAATGTTGAGGTTAGCCACATGAATCTAATCTCCCAAGTCTAAACGTAGCAAAGTGAGATTAGATTATTTTGTTTTATTGTCTTAATTTCACCCAGTCTAAACGTAGCAAGGTGAAGTTAAGTTGTCTTGTATTAATTGTTTAAACTCATAGGTTAAACGTAGCATTTGAGTAAGATGTATTGTGTTAAAATTGTATAACTGTGTGTATATGGTTTAAATTTTGATCAACTGTGACATCATTTGAGAAGAGATTTTTGTGTAAACTCCAGTTGTCAGTCAGTATACAGACTGAAAATTGTGACCTTTCGATCTCTCAAAAGGTGATATAGTGGTGTGTAAAAGTACAAGTAACAGAAATGAGGTTGAATCATGGCAAGCAGCTTGATCATGGGGATAGTATACCCAGTGATTCCCCAGTTTATTTAATGAAACAGAAATATGGCCCTTCAAATATTATGTATTCAAAGAAATGGGCAAAGTTAACTAAGAATAATATAAATCCATGGCCAGTGGTGGGGTCATTAGACCCTTGGGTGTTGTTAAGTTTAAGAACAATGTTGTTAAATGGAAAAAGTCTTTCAAAACTGGAATGGTCTGCATATATGTTATGGCATGAGGAAATTGAAAAGAAAAAGCAAGAATGTTCCCCCCAGTCAGGTGCAACAGGAGGGGCATGTAAAGGAGAGGGTACTGGTGTTGCCTGTTTGTATCCCTCACTGTACAATTTAAAAAGAAATGTTAAAAATCCTCCGCCTTATAATGATGATGAGGATTTTTTTGATTAATCATGAGATTATGAATCCCTCTTTGGGTCACCTCCCCTCAGCAGATGAATGATGCACCACAGCTTGTACCCCAAAATTTAGCTGGTGCCTCAGCCATGTTGCATTGAGGTGGTAGACCTGAGAGGGATATTAGACTGCCTAAAAGATTTGCTGATCATGCTGTGGTTACTATCAGGTTTATCAGGATGTAGAAATGTGTTGCCTGAGTGATGGGAGTGAGGCTATGATTTTACCTATTAGAGAAGTGGGACAGATGGATAATGATGGGAGACCACGGAGGATTTGTCAACCGTGGAGCCCACAAGACATAGCATTTTTACAGGTATCATTTCCTGCCCCCTCTAGATCCAAATGGGTTTGTAAAACATTTAAAAATAATGTGTGCCAGCTATTTCCCCACAACATAAGATCTTAATGAGTTAATGGAGACAGTATTAACCCCTACAGAACATACTAAATGGGTGGCAGGATATAACGAATCACCTTTTTCATGGCCTGCAGGGGTGGGGGGACAAGCAGTTGCACACATATGGGAAAATTGCCCTGATGAGAGGAGTGATGTTGTCCTTAAGAATTGGTATGCATTCCTCAGCATTAAAGTAAAAACAGTTTTTACCCAGCCTATTGACTATACATAGCATAGTGCAAAAGAAAGGAGAAAACCCCTATGAATATGCGGAAGCAATTAAGGTTTTTGGAAGTTTTGAAGATATCACGGTTGAATCAATTAAGCCGTTCATAGTGAATACCTTAGTAAATGGTTTGGATGCTAAAGTAAAAAAAACAATTGATGTTATCCTTACTGGGATGACGGGATAAATCACTTAATATTGTATTAAGTGCAGCATCAGAAATTTGACAAGCTATTCAAATCAAGGAAAATGCAAAAGCTGAGCACATAATGCTACAAGCTGAACAAATTCCTGTTAGATATTATGCACATCAAATGTTTCAATTGTGATGGATATGGTCATATAGCAACAGATTGCAAGGAGGTAAAGGGGGCAAGAAAGCAATTAGAAGAAAAAGACAGACTAGATGTAGAGGAAGATTGGGGTCTGAATATGTATTGTTACCAGTGACCCAAGGTCCAGAACCTATGGTACATTTGAAAGTAAATGAATTGTATGTGATACTGAGGGAAGAAGAAGTAAGTGATTTTGGTGGGGAGAGTGTATATTTAGTGGAAGACCAGCATTGCCATCATTGTTTAATTCTGAATGGTCAAGGCTGGGCCTTGGCACTGGTGTGTTCTTCATGTGTTATTTGTTCACAATACAATGCAGGTCAGAGACCTAAATCATCCTCCCTGTTCATGAGGTCCATTTGTAAATTTACAAATGGATTTCATTGAATTACCAAAGGTAATGCAGTACCGGTATGTGCTAGTAATATTAGATACATTCTCAGGTTTGGTTGAGGCTTATCCTTGTTGCCATGCGGATATTGTCTACAGTGTCTAAGAAATTGTTACAAGAATTTATACCCAGGTATGGATTGCCTCGGCACATTTACTCAGATCAGGGAACACATTTTATAGGAAAAGTAGTGCAACAGATAGCAAAAATTTTGCAAATCCCTTATCATTTACATTGCTCTCATCATCCTCAGTCAGAAGGAGCAGTAGAAAGGGCCAATGGAACATTGAAAAACAAAATTGCAAAAATTGCAGCAGAGAAAGTTAAAGTGGCTTAATGCACTTCCTCTTGCCTTAATGTCTATGAGATTCTTTCTAGTTTGAAAGCAGGGTTATCCCCTCATGAAATTCTAATTGGAAGACCAATGTTCACAGGAGGGGTACCTATAAAATGTTATTCTCATGAGATAAATGATGATTTAGTAATGACATATTGCATGTAGCTAACAAAACGATTAGTCTCTCTATATGCAGGTAAAAGCTGTACAGCGAACAAGTGAATACCAACCTTTGCATGCCATCGCTCCTGGAGATTATGTTATGATAAAAGACCATTCACGAAAGCACGCGTTGCAACCAAGGTGGAAAGGACCTTGTCAAGTGTTATTAACCACTAATTCAGCTGTTAAAGTCGCAGGGGTTAAATCTTGGATCCACATTTCCCATTGTAAACTAACAAGCGCTGGAAAAGATTTTTTTCACTGGAAGAAGAATAGAGGACTAAGGAAGCTGTTTTCCCTTCTAAAAAGGGGTACTTTTTAAGGGGAGTATCTTTCTAGTACAAAGTCAACTCTACTGTTTTTCTTCATGAATCTCAAACTGGTTAAAATTATATTGTCCTTAATGATTGTCATTATGACATTTTTTTAATTTTTCATCCTCATTTTTTCTTTAATACACGTGTAGTTTGAGAACCCAAGTGATTTTTCTTCTTGGGAGATAGATAATCATTTCGTTAAAACAGCTACTGAATTGTATAAATTGTCAAACAAAAGTAATCATTGTTGGGTTTGTGGGTTTGCTCCGCATTCCATGAACTATGGTTATCCTTTTGTGGGGGTGCCATGGTCTATGGAATCTCTTTGTGAGAAAATAAGAGCAAATAAAACGGGGTTTGTTGGATTTATTCAGAATGAAGTATCCAAATCTGGGGAACCTGCTAAGGTTCATTTAACATATCCTATTACTAGCAGAGCAGTAGTAATTTCTAACAGGGATCAGAAAAGTCCTGACAAGATTGTTAAGCCTATAAGCAATGCTATTGTTATTTTTGAAAACAATGTCCTTTATAATCTATGTGGGTCTGAAACTAATTCTGCCCTTTGTACTGGTAGATTGAAAGCTTTTTGTTGGAAACCCTTATTAGAAGATATTTTAACAAAATGTCCCATCAAGGATAGAATCCAGGTGATTACTGATCATGTATGGGTAAATTTGACTTCTGAGGTAGAAATCATGGATAATAATTATGATCAGAATGAACATTTAAATGTCACTATTTTGAGATGGGCCTACTTTAATACTCAAACTTCCAATCTTTTTATGCTACTGCCCTATATTAATCAACCTATTTTTGACTGCTCAGATTCTCGTGTTATTGATATTCATCTTCCATTTGGGGTATACTATTTATGTGGTAGTTGGGCGGTAAAAAGACTTCCATGTAATTGGGTGGAAACTTGTTATCTAGGTAATATTATCCCAGCGTTAACCCTTCATGAAAATTTGCCTGAAGGAAGGGTGAGGAATAAAAGAAAGGTTATTAGTTCCAAAAAAGATAAAACCGAAAGAACTGTAAAATCTGGTGAAGGAGATAGGCTATTTGCAGGTTTTGTACCTACATGGGGGGTTATTGAATTAATGTATAAATTAAACTTGTTAGCAGATATACTAGATGAAGCCTTTAATAATACAGGAGATGCTATTGAAAAATTGTCTGCCGAACAGGAACAAGCTTCAGCTATGATTATGCAAAATAGGTTTGCCCTAGATTATTTGTTGGCCTCCGAAGGTGGTGTTTGTGCACTGATAAAAACAAGATGTTGTTTAAAGATAGATAATGTTACTGGTCAGATTCATACAGATGTAGATAAATTGCATGAAGTACAAATTAAACTTAGAGAAGTTCACGATACTTCTTCGGGAGGTTTAAATTGGGGTTTTGACTGGAGTTTTGGTTCAACTAATTGGTTGGGAACAATGGGAAAACGTATTCTCATTGGAGTTATTTTAGTAGTATTGATGCTTGTGTTTATATATGTTGCAGTGAATGTCCTAAAGTGTTCATGCCGATTAATCCTCAAGAGCTGTTCACCTTCATCTCCCCCTGGCACAATTTCGAATGTTGAAATGTCTCCTATCCGGTCACAACTCATACCGACTTGGAATACAGACATGCTTTCTCGTGAAGATATTGATCGTGTGCGCATCTATTTGGAAAGTCCTGCAAGTGCTGTTTAAAATCACTAGCTCACTGAATGACCTTCGCTAAACATGGAAGTGTTGCACGGAGCTTTTTGTGGTGAAAGTCCTAGCACCAAAGGGAGGACTGTGAACATATGTAACCTGCTACTGACATGCTGTCAGCCATTTTGCTGTTTATTCATCATCTTAAAATATAATCAAAGAAGAATATTTACTCTAAGAAATAAGAAGAAACTATGTTTTATTGCTACAATTCTGGACTGTTTTTTGGATTGCAAAAGGAAAGGTTATTTTGAAAGCGTGTCTTGTCAGATGTTGCCAGGGGGGGGAAAGGTGAAATGTGTGCTTAAGTTGTGAAAGAGGAAGTCTTATATGTGTTAACTTTTATCATAGACAAGCGATATTTTAGCGAAGTAAGACGCATGACTGTGGTCAAGTCATCTGTTAGACAGATCATGGGATGCTTAAACTTTTGAACCTTAAATTTGTCAGTTATGCTAGAATTTAGCCAATAGGAAATAAGACCATATTTGGAGTTCTGATTCAAGCTAAACGAAAGGCCGGTTCCGGGTCATATGTATAAAATATGAGGAATTGTAACATGATGTTAGATTGCTTCTTGCCAATCTCCATGAGATATCTCTGTGTATTGTAATGGTCAATTAAACGCTTTTTATTGAACCTGGTAATATTTTTGTCTACTTCCACACCTACAAGTGGTCTATGTATGGTACTAACTTTGAGTGATAACTTCAATTAAATGTGTATATTACATCCACCATAGTTATCTATAATAGGACTTGTTACCTCTATTCTGGGATACATATGATCCAGGTTACCAGTTTGCAGCATAAGCAACATTTAGATATATTTGGACCTATGGTTATATCTTTATAATTCAGCCTCAGAGAATAGAGGTTGGCTATATTAACCTTTCTGTATCCACTTATTCATCTGCTTCATAAGGTCCTTCTATTAATAAATAATACAAACTCTACATTGTGGGATATTAGACAGATGTCCTTCGGGCATATTACAAGATGGAGGGCTCATTATTTACATATTAATGTATTATAGAAGGCAATACATTTTGCCCTTTTTATCACACATTTCCTTCTTTCACTTTAAACGTCCGCCCCCCCCCGATGAGATACCACATGGACTTGTTTGTTTACTTACAGTCTATTCAACAAATGCTTTGCCACGTAACACTAAAGGGGTGGGGTTTGCTTGGACTCAGTTTATTGAGCCATAAGCAAACACACACACCCCCCTCTCTCTCCTTTTCATGCGCGTTTATAAATGCATGACGCTATCCAATTACCTGCCGTCATGTGAACCTGAAGGCGTGGCCTGCTCGGGCTCAATTTTTTGGCGCGAGCAGTAAGCACACGCCCCCATTCTCCTACTGGCGGCACACGGTTATTTAAACAGCCTCTTGTGCAGTGTGAGGTCTGCTAAGCCTCGGAAGAAGGCGCGTTTTATAGCGCCGAAACATATGTTAGGCAGTAGGCAGGGAGACCAGCGATTTAGATTATAGGCAGCAAGATCAGCGATCTCTTCCTCAATTTGTATCTCTCACTATTGATAGAATCAGGGAGCTTACAGCTACCTCGAGGATATTTGGCTAGGGTTTATTTTCTCTCTCTGGCTTATTTTGTGTGTTCTTTTCTCTTTTTTACTTGAGCTCACGATCTGGGCTATTCAAGTGGGTGGGTTGGTATCTATATTTACAGACTCCCCACATGGAGAGGGGGTGCCTTATGCCCTCCACTCTGTGATTTTGCATCAAGGGATATTTTGTATATTTTTTTCATCTGGATATACTGACATCCTTTTTGTATTGATACAATGTTCATAGGTATCATTTTGTTGCCATACCCCAGTACTATATTTAGTCAGTGCTTTCCAAGCAACCATTGAACCAATTGTCTATATTACAGTTAGCAACACTAAGGGAGAGTTTAGCTAAGGAAGG